ATTGTGACAGTCATCTGTAGTCCCAGCTACTTGGGAGGCTGAGGCAAGAGAATTGCTTCAGCCCAAGAATTTGAGGTTGCTGTGAGCTGTGATGCTACAGCACTCTACCAAGGGCGACATAGTGAGACTCTGTGTCAAAAAAAAAAAAGTAATTGTTAGAAATGTGTGTGTATGAGTGTATGACACCCAGGGGATATGTTGAATCACTGAAAGGAACCAGCAAATCTAAGATCTATATAATTTCATGGCATAGGATCCAAGTGGGATGAAGTAAGAAATTCTTGCCTGTCCTTCTGCTCTGTAATACATGTGCTCAGTATCTATTCATAATGTATGGTGATAATCAGGTAAGTAGTAGTGTAAAGGTCTCAAAGAGTACCTTTCTACCTCTTTCTGAGTAGAAGAGAAACCTTTTCTCTTCTCTTTCTACCTTTTCTCAATCCTGAGAACTGAGGTAAAAGAGAAAGGAAAGCCCGACAATGGGTATTTTTCACAAAAGGAGCCCACAAAATATATTTTAGAGGAAAGGGAGTCTTAGCAGTGAGGCAGGGGCAAAAATAGATCTTTCTGGCATGGAATTGCCATAATATCAACAAGGGAAGGGAAGAGAGCAAGGGATAGGAGGCACATCACAAACCTGTAAGATAGGAGGAGTGAATTTATAAGGAGTTTGAATCCCCAGAAGATCTCACTAAGGAAAGAAGGAAGTGTGTAATGTACTGAGTTGAGTGCCTCTAGCAGGAAAGGGATAGGAAATGTGCACATGGAAGTAATGAAAAGGAAAGACACTGCATTAGGGCCCATTGACTCCCACCTTGAGTGTATATCCTTCAGATCTACTTTGGCTCCTCACTCCCACTCAGTCAAAAGCCACTTCATATGTATGTCCAGGCCTCCCCACCCCAATACAAAAAGCAACCGCATACAAAAGGGAAATATGACAAGGGATTAAATAGAACTATCTTATAGATTTATTAATGAAAAATACTTTACAAAAACAGTATGTTTGGCCCTAAAATAATTCAGCTGAATCTGAGGGTTTACAATGGCAAATGAGCAAGTGGCAGTAATGGCTCTGCTGCTGAAGATAAGAGGGTATGTTAGTGTGCCTGACTCCATCTGTTCAGAAGGACAAATGTTATGTTGGCAGCTCCACATTCTAGGCCTAAGGTTTGGGAGCACAGGGAAGGCTGACAGGCCATAATACCTGGGCAGGTGGGTAGGCTGCCCTGAATGATGTGGTCAGAACAATGACCACAGGGCTACATGTCCCTCCACGGATGGGAGATGGGGAAGACAGAGGGTCCAGTAACAGGGATAGGTGGATAAAATAAGAGTAGAAGTTGGGAATATAGTAGGGAATAGAGATGAGGGCTCAGGTGGAGGTACGGGCATAAAGCATCCAGGAATAAAATAGTCATGTTATGATCCTAAGGAATGATAGTGTCCAGAGTAATATGGATATATCTTTAATGTGGCTCAAATAAAGTCCTTAAATAGCAGCTGCTTCTTTTTGCTAGGGGAATGGAAGTTGAAATTTCAAATATCCCCCCTAGAGAGCCAGGTCTTTTTTGGAGGGTCCTGGCACCACTAGGAGAAACTGCCAATTCTATGTTGAGATGAGAATAGAACAACCAAGGCAGGGATGCAGGGTACCAACTTTGTCATAGCACAATTTTTCAGAGAATAGTGTGGCTCCAGGAAAGGACAGGAGTGACCCTTACCACTGGCTGTGCTGCAGGGCTCGAGCCCTGATCTGTTCTTTTCCAGGGGCATCTGGTAAAACAAACAGATATCCCTCTCCCCTTGTCCTCCTATGTCCAGATTGGGAGGCATAAATGCTTTGCCTCCAGTCATCATCTGGGGGCATATCTACTCTTCGGGGACCAGGGGTTCGGGACCCTGTAATAGGACCTGAATTCCAGGCTGACCTCAAGGGTACATGAAGACTGTTGGATGGTGAGGACACAGGGTGAACAATGGGAGGATGAGGAGATAAGTGGAAAAGATCCCCCCAGGACTGAGCATGAGGAACCTGAAGGCCCTGGCTGCTTTCTGGTAGTATGGCAGTGTGGGTTAGCTGAGGATTGAACCCTGGAGTAGTCAGGCATCTGGCCCCAAGGTGCTGGTTGGTCTCTGACTGGGGTCCCCAGGAGGCATCTGTTCTGGAACGATGGGGTAGACTCTGGTAGTTCAAAGTCCTTCCTGTGTACTTGAACCCTTGGGAAGTTTCACCCCTGTCACACATAGCCAGAAACTGCTGGATACTCCTCGAAGTTCCTGGAAAAGAAAAGAAATTCAAAGACTAAGTATCTTCAGAAAATTATTCTCCTTCCCAGAGGGCCATTCTTAGCTATTCTACTCAACTCTCCACTCCTCTAAGAGCAAACACACATGGGAAGAAAATTCTTACTATACATCAAAATCAAGTCTCTTACCGCTAACCTGGGCAAATGAAACAGTTGCCATACTTGTACCTCAAGACTCCACTATAATCCCTCCTCTATCCTACCCTACACACAAAGTAATGGCTCCCTAATAGAATAAACGTATACTCCCTTTGTGATGACTCTAATCCTGAAGCCACTACTCTAAAACTTACTCAGCCTTTATTAACATGGTACCTTCACTCCAGGTAAACTGCCTCTACTTAGATTCTTATTCAATATCTGAGATCTCTGCTTTTGTTCACACCAGTTCTCCTATACACACAAAATGGAATGCCTTTTCTATATATTCATTCAATTTTGGCACTACTGGTATCTTGAGCTGATAATTATTTATTGGGGTAGGGAGGGACTGCTCTGTGCAAGGTGTGATGTTTAGCAGCATCCCTGTCCTCTACCCATCAGATGCCAGTAGTACTTCTCCTTTCCCTATTGAGAACCACTGCCTAAGCTATACTTTCAGTTCATTAAGAGGAGAATGAAAATCTTATTGTGGAGGGTTAAAGAAAGCCAGAATGATGCTGCCCACCTTCCCTAGGATTGTCTGGGTCTGTATACATGGCATGGGTACTTTCAAATTTCCCACTCATTCCTTATCCTCCTAGACCATCTCTCAGCTGAAACTTAGAGCAAAGAAAGAGAAAACTAGCTGATAAAGATGACATTTTCTAGATTGGGGGGATCCCAAAGACTGGGTATTAATTCCTTTTTGTCACTTAAAACTTAATTTATGACTGAAGCAATTCATTCTTATAGACAATTCTAGGGGTGCTCATCTATCTAGACCCTTGATATAAGAACCATGGTGTCCCCAAATGATTAAAATCACAATGCATCTAGATTAACATTTTATATTAAAGTAGTAATTCATATCCTTACACCACCCCACCTTGAGATACCCTTCCCCACCCCCAGAAGTACTAATTTGATCCTTAGAGGTAGGTCCCTACAAAGGTACCATAATGGCATATAATGTTAGATTTGAGGGAATTACCTGGGGGTCTATAGGGCTCCCCTGCCATGCTGGGCATCAGGACATCTGGGGACAGGATCTGTGGTGGGGGAGGGTAGAGTTGGGGACCAAGGAGAAACACAGGAGGGTCATGGATGACAGGGAGGGAAGAGGAGCTGGAACAACGGTGCCCGGTTTCCAAATGCTTTTTCCTGGCGTTTGATGGATCCTTATAATGAGACAAGAACAGGAAAAAAAAAAAAAAAACCACAGAGATGAGGATTAACACACAGCAGGACGTGGTTGGGTAAACACAGTAAGGCAAGCACAGGGAAAAGGAGGGAACTAGAGCACAAATGCACAAATATGCCTTGTTTTGAAGAGGCAGCCCCTCTCCCTGTCAGCCCCTCTGGGAAACTCCAAACTTCAGATTCTCTTCCCTCAACCAGTCTTCCCCATATCTCTCATTTTCTAACCCTGCAAGTCAGGTATTTGGCAAACTCCTTAATGCTAACAGTAGAATTAAGAAAGAAATTTAAAATATAGAAGAAATGATAAAGAAAAATTCAGAAATCCTGAGAGACTGAGAAAAAAATTCTATACTTCCCTTTAAAAGTATTGGGAATTTAAAAAAAAATATGATCAAATGTAGAACTGAGAACTCCATCTTCTCTCCATCACTGCTACATACCACAGCTGCTTCTTTTGCCTGTCAAGTTTGTAGTCACTAATGCTTATGTCCTGCTCTACTGTCTATTGGTTATCCACTTTTGTGGTAAAGACCTAGAAATAGCCCCTTTAACATCTGAAACACTAATACATCCAAAATTGAACCAATATTCTTCCAAACTCCTCTTACTAGTACCTCATTTTCCTAAGTTGCCCAGACTCAAACAGTGGCATTGCCCTTTCTTTCCCACTTCCCATTCACAATTCCATTAGTTGCCAAATGCTGTCATTTCAACCTGTGGATTTTGTATTTCAACTCCTGGAACACTGCAACCACCTTCAATCTGATCTTCCTATCTCCCATCTATTAATTCCTCACCATGGCCTTCAAGGTCCCTTATGATAGGACCCTGTTGCTACTTTTTTTTTTTTTTTGAGACAGTCTTACTCTGTTGCCCTGGGTAGAGTGCCATGGCATTATCATAGCTCACAGCAACCTCAAACTCTGGGGCTCAAGCAATCCTCTTGCCTCAGTCTCCCAAGTAGCTGGGACTACAGGCATCCTCCACAACACCCAGCTAGTTTTTTCACTTTTAGTAGAGACAAGGGTCTCACTCTCGCTCAGGCTGGTCTCAAATTCCTGAGCTCAAGCAATCCACCTGCCTCAGCCTCCCAGAGTGCTAGAATTATAAGCATGAGGCAGCATGCCCAGCCTGCTCCTTCTTATTTTATTTCCTATCATTCCAATACCTTTTACACTTTTTCTTAATCTTCCTCAAACATACCATACCAAACTCATTTCTATCTCAGAGATGT